CTGATTATTGTAGTTTATAACAACTGCAGAACAGTAAGTTATTTGGTTGTTATTTGAAGAAATTCACTTTTTTTTCTTCCCCTTCAAAAAAACAGGTGATCACTGTTTTATCTACAAATTGAAGTAAGCTACAAATGCAAGAATGAGCATGTTTGTTGGCAATGACTATTATAGTCAGAGTATGAGTAGTCTTTGTATTCAAGTTAACAGACTGGGAGTTATTAAACAAATGAATTCTTCCTTGTACTGAGTCTCACGTCACTCCTAATTAGCCAGCATGCAGCAACAAGAGAACTCACAGAGCCAACTCTAGCTACAAAGTTGTGCCCAAGAGAAGGTGACCTGCTAAAGCCAGAAATTCTGTTATGTATTATTATTGAGGAATACCAGATGAGCGGATTTCTGTGGAGCTGGCACTCAGCGGTGGCTCACAACCTCAGACACACCAAAGCTGATTGCATGCAGCCAGACCCACCTCTACTGTACCTCCCTCTGCGTCCCACAGAGCTCCCTCGCACCCCGCGGCGGGTATACTGCATGTTCACCATCCCAGCATGCAGAGGGTTAGTCCTACTGACACATCTCTGTTCCTTTACTTTCATTCCATTTTCCTATTTTCTTCTCTATGCTGCTTTTTCTTATCATTTTTCCCTAGTAGAATTCCCCCATAGTATTAATGCACAACACTGCTTTTTGCTGGAAAGTCATTGCTGTTAAGTATTGAGAAAATTGCTGAAAATGCTTGAGATGTTTGTTATCCCTCCACCATTTCTGCACTAACCCAGACCCTGGGAAGTAACACTATCAATGTTATCAGCGGGTCAGCACATCCAACAGCCACTTATCTCATGCTTTTTAAAACTTATCAAATAACAATAATAACAAACCAAAACAGGTCAGAGCTCCTATCAGTGATTTTTGCATTCACCATTTCAAAACCTTTAACAAAACAAGTGTGTTAGTGTTTGATTTAATGGAATCAAGAAACAACTGAACTATAGTGCAAATAGCGACTACAGTAATGTTCTTGCATAATACTGTTAATTGTGTTAATCTAATTCTTGCAAAGCCCATCCTTGTGTGGGGTTTTGCCTAATGGGGTTTATGGGAAGCTTTTGTCCATCTGTTCTTCCATTGCCCGTATTGCAGTACTTTCTCCTATTCTTCATGAAGACAAAATTTCACTTCCCTGCTTTTCCCTTTATTTCTTTACTCCTAGTTTTTCTGCGTCTTCCTCTCAATGTAAAACCATCTCTTGTCAGCGTAGGCTCCACCTATATTATCAGTTTCCTTTGACCTTACTCCCAGATACCACCAAACTGTGCACCTTCTCCATTTGCAAATGCAAGTGTGATTTCACTTACCTTTCATTATGGAATGTACACTGCTTTGCCCCGTCCTCCAGTGTACACACGGCATGTTAAAGGCTTTCACTTCGACTGGTGCAATGTGAGAATGATGCTGTTTTGTCTTTCAAGAAAATGGCTAAATGCTGGGAGAGGTGTCTGTACGTATCTTCCACAAAGCTGAAGTACTTACTTGTACTAATATTCACTTTACAGATAGACACACAGAAACAGTTGACTTGGCTATTAAAGTGAAACTAAGAAATGGCATTTCCATTGTAAACTGATCCTTTTAATAATTTAGAACTAGGTTGGCTTTCTGATGAAAAAGTTCTGTTGGAAGTGTCCTCTACTCTCTTTCCTCAATATGTGTATCCATACAAGCATCACCAAAAAAGCCCACTTTTATTTTGCTTCCAAATTTATGATACACAAATATGTGTACAGATTAACAACTTCATACAACATGCATTGCTATGCTGAAAAGCATAAAAAATTCAAAATGGGAAATAGAAAGGAGGCTTCCCAAAAGTAACGCACTCTAGCTCCTTGCAGGTTTTGAAACATACTTAATTATCAGAGCAAATCCTGATGGATGTTAATGTTAATGTAAATAGTTATGGACTATGTTTCAGAGAGCTCTTTTTCTAAACACACCAGTCCTTCCCAGTTCCAGAACTTCCTTGAGAAGAGAGGAGAAAAAGAAGTTGGAGAATACTTCTCACATGCTATGCAATTTTGACTAGATTTTAGATTAATTTTCAAGTAGAAGGACACTACCACCCTGGAAGCCCACCTAAGAAACCAGAGCCGACTCAAATTTTCTGGTATACAAGAAAATAGAATATTTCTCCTTGATTCTCCCTATTAAAAACAAAGGCATGTATGTGGGATCTGTGGAACGAGCTGACTGAACAGAGCAGGCCGACATCCAGTGCTTACCATGTCTCAAGAAAACTTCCTAGTGCAACTCCCAGTCCTGTCAGGAAAGGGACCTTTATTAGCGGCTCTGTTGAAGTGAAGAGGTTTTCATCTTTGGGAAGCTTTAAGAATATCAGTGGGCAAATTGCCCTTTCCCTCCAAACTAAGGAAATTCGGGTCATGCAACTGGACGGGATCAACCACAACATCAACAAGCAACCTCTCAATACACAGCTAGTTCAGGAAGATCTATAGAACATCAGCTTCCCCACAAAATTACCCTTCCAAACATTGCAGAACCCTATATCAAGCTGAAAGCCTGTAGTACAGGATTAAAAAAAAGAGTTAGAGGAAATCGAGCATTACCAATTTCCCACCTCCTTACATGGGAACTTGTTAAATAAAGCTTTAGAGGACAATAATCAGTGGGCCATACCCCACAGTACAGGAAAGGGCTAAAAAACAAAATCAGACCCAGCAGTCCTTTCCAATTTTTTGTTCTCTATGTCACCTTCCTTACGTGCTTCCGACACTGGCAGTATGCTGTTTGTTCAGCTGAGCAATGCATGATTTTCCAGCATCTCCCAGTTTTGGCAAGGTGATTGCTGTGCACAAATACAGGCACGGCCTCCACATCTCACGGCTTCGCTGCTGTGCTTGCTGACATGAAAAAGCTGCCTAACTTCAGAAAGATCACAAGGGTGTGGAGTTTCCCAGCCTACGTGGAATCTTCTTGAATAACCAAGCAAGTGGAAGGTTTTCCTGAGAGCAGCTCAAGCAACATCCCTAGTCGCAACATTTTTTTCTATAGCTGAATTCTAGTCCTTAAAATGCCTCCTCTATGAAGGATCTGAATTCCCTCCCAGCACTAAAAACATGTTTCGTCTTTGAATGAAGGGATGGACCTGCACTGAGAACACCGCTTCCCCTCTTTCCATGGAAATCTGGCAGATGTAAGCAGCAGATTGCCCTAAGAAATGGGGAAGAGAGAAAATGACAAACCTACATTACTGTGCAGTCTTTCCTCCTTCAAGAGGCACCATTGCCTTCTAGATGGTATTTAGCTGGACCTTGCTTTGTTTAAAGAAAGTCTAATAAGAAGAATAATAGGCATATTGCTTGACCCTAAGGCTCTGTCATGTTTTAAAGGAGAGGGAAGGAAGAGAGGAACTCTTCTCCCTTGTTTAAGCTAATTAAGGCAAAGTCAGGGGAAACAGCAGAAAGAACACTAGTACTGTGGGTCTTCTTTGGCTTGTCATTTTGGCAATTCCCAATCAAGTTCAGGCTACCTATCTGGAAGGGCGAGATGCATCTTGTAAAACCTTTCACTTGAAGGTCACTAAAAAGATGCAGTCCATTACAGAAGGAATCATGCAGAGTTGCTGCAGCAGCTGATTTACCTCTTCAAAAGCACCACTGCCACCTTAATTGAAGGCTCTTGTTCAGGGTATTATCCAGATTCAAGAACAGTGGACAGAGAGAAATAGCTATACCCTGGGATCAGACACTTTTCCAAAACGGGGGCAGAGCAACTTGACCTAGAACCTAGAAAAACAACAGATTTACTACAGGCTGGAGGAGCTTCTCTTTGTTTCTAAGATCTATATAAATTCAAAAAGCTATAGTGCAATCATTTAGTCTGTTATTGTAATTACAAAGCTAATCAAGGGCTTTGGAGTTAACAATAGCATTAGGGCACACAATCAAATAGTGAAATGGAATGAAAGATAGAAAATGCAGATTGTTAGAAAACTAACAGTAACTGTCAAACTTCAGAACACAAAAGCCATGGCATGGAGTTAAGAGAATTGCAATAGAAACCTCAGTGAGAAGTTCTAAAGTTAAAAGCATTTAGTTTTGCACTTAGTGTGCCAGCATCCACTGTTTGCCATAGCATCCATACTTTTTGTTTTAATGTTAGAGAATGAAAGATGGTTGGAAATTTTAGACCACTTTCTGAATATCTCTAGTTGAACTCACAGACATGTTTGTATTTAAGATTTAGATCCTACTGAAGCATGATAGTTTCTTACATTGTACTCACTTTGTTATGAGTCTGTACAACTGAAAGAAATAACAGGTCAAGTAAAATATGCAATAATACTTAAAACAGATGTTGATGTAAATTCCAGTGGAAAGAAAATATTTGTTTCGATGTATGCACTTTCTTAGAGCTTATTTTTCTTATATTGTGCAACTACTGTATTTAAAAGCAGAGACTATTAAGAATGGATTTGTTCAGAAAACAGTAAGAAGTGGTTCCATGAAAGTCTGTCAAAGAACTGAATGTCCTGACTTTTAAAAATTTGTGCTGCTTCACAGGACACAAAAAATCACCAACTATATGGGGAAGAGAAGAGGAGACTCTCTGACCTTTTTTCTCACTCTCAATATGAATTTCATTGTATTGATGCAGTCCAAATTATATAAACTTTTGAGCCAATTCTGTACTATTTCAAAAGGAAAAGAACACTCTTCAACCTTTGAAATATTATATATCAAAACACTCATTCGGCTCGGTGCTTCAAAAACAAAGTCAGAGGGTTGGGAAAAATTGTTAGTTGCTTTTAAACCTTTTAATTTCAGCTCTTGTATTTGTTTTCCTACTGATGTGATCAAGAAGCTGTTGTGCCCAGGAGAAATGCATCCTGTAGTCACAGGGCTGAAACAAACTGCTATTTTATAGGGTTAGAGATCTGGATTATGATTTCTATTCCAGGTTAACAGACTTACATGATTTTCTGTTGGAAATTTTCAGTGGCTGAATCTGCACTTCTGGTCTTCTTAGTGCAAATCTCCTATAAAATGGGAGGTGGTAGACAAAAGACACAAACTCCTCAGTTTTCATGACAAGTTTGGGATTAATAAACACTTAACATCATGAGACTATTACAAAATATCCAGAAGATTTTAGAAGAAATTACCTTAAACCAATGCAATCTATTCACAATCTAAAAAAATTAAATTGTCAGCCTCAAATTTTTGTACGCTCTCCAAAACCTGCTGCAGTTCTTATTCCTGCATAGTACATCAGTGTGAATACAGATACTGATGTGCTATTTTCCATATGTTTTTTCTTTCAATCTGGATCAGTGTTATCCTATCAGTTTTTGTCATTATTAATTCTAGCCAGACAAATAAGGAAATCCAAAGTATTTCAGCAACAGGTTTCCAAGTTCAGTCGTCTTGCTGCAAATGTAGGTTTATCATACCCATGTAATCTATGAGCATTACATATGACAACTATGCTAACTTAACAACTCGGCAAATAAGTGTCTTCTCTTACTACAAAAAATAATGAAATTATGCTTCTCAGTAGCTCACCTCTCCTGGAAATGCTTTGAAGGGATCAAGCCTGCTCTGGGATTGGCATCACCTTCGTGTTTGGCCTGCCACCAGGTTGCATCATCCTGGCTCATGATCTGAAGGACATCTCCTTTTCTGAAAGCAAGTCCAGCTTCTTTACAAGGAATTGCTTTATCCTCATTAGGATCATAGTCAAATAGGGCTCTGATAAACATCTGAAACAAACCGGGTTTTATCTTTAGAATCAAAATATTCAATGTAATCCAAAGGTATCTCCCTCTTTTGCTTTTACTGTTCAAAACCGTTCAACTAAATGTAAAGCAATAAACATTTACTGCTGTAAAACATCCTTATGGATGTCTAACATTAGAAGTTCGTATGGGAATGTTAAATTCATTGCTTCTGCAACTGCAATCCCAATGTAGTAAAGTCTCTACGATCCAAGGCAAATAGGACTTTGCAGGTGAATAGCGTGCCCGTATGGAGAACAGAAGAGAAGATACTTTTGAACGAAGGTGCTATCAAGTATCTTCTACCTAGTCCATGATGGAAGAAAAGGACTACTTGGAAGCAAGCCAGGTCCTCACGGAAGACGGAAGATTACAAGATTACCTATGTCAACTTCACAGCTGTAGACTTAGGGCTTAAGAACCATGTTACAGTCACTTGTAAACCCAGCATGTGAGTATTGAAGCATACAGTGCGCTATACATTGTTACATTACAAAAACAGAGTCCGGAGGCATAAAACACATTCTGTCACCCAAACAAACAATATATATCCTCAGCATAACAGTTACTGCAATAGATTCTGAAACAGTCTTGCCCACCTTGCCTTCTTTCACTGGCATTTCTTCTTTCACACTGGGTATAATTTTAAATGTAATTGCTCCTTGAGACTGAGCCTGCGAACATTTGAAAAGAAAATGCACTGAGAATTAAGCTGTACATTTCAAAGAAACCTTAAAAGGAAAAGAAATTCAAATTAATTTAAAAATAATCAAATACAATGAATCTATCCTCTCCCAAGCATGACCCGTGGAGGTCGAAAGCTTCACCATACCAAACCTTGCAGCGCAAAGATTAAAATGCCCATTTGAAATGCTCAGTTTTATTTGCTTCACTGGTGGGCAGAGATGGACTGTTAAAAACTGGGACCTGCATGTTTCAGAGGTCCCACTTCTGCACTGAAAGCAGGAGCAAACGCTACAGCTAAAATGTATACATATTAGGAGCAACTGCTGGACTCCTGGCACAGTTTGGACATCCCTGGAAAAATCCAACTAACATTTCATTTTTCAAAAAAAAAAATGATAGAAAAATTCAAACAGGCTTGTGCCATATTTATCATATAAAACTATCGGGGGGGATTTATTCTTTTGGCAACTTTAAGAAACTAGAAAAGAAAAACATATTTGAATAGACTACGTGTACTAAATGGAAAAAAAGCCCTCCACTATAAATCTTAAAACAAGTTAGCCGTCATCAACCACCTCATCCATTCATCTTTCCCGATATCCCACTTAAAGTGTGTCTGGCTGCATTTCACTTATTAACCACAATATATTCCCACTGCCTCAGTGACATTTGTCTATTGAGGGAAGTGCTAATCAGCTGGAGCCTCTGCTACTATTGCATGCGGCCGACAAGTTTCATAAAACTAGCAGAGTGCAAGACAGCCAACGATTTAAGCAAAATGGAAACAGGCCTGTCCACTACCAAGCGAGACATACTTCTGCCGGCGTGTCTGCAATCCAAGAGCTCACTGTTTGACAAGCAGCAGCCAAGTTCTTACTTCACCAGCCGTAGGACTGGAATCAATAATTCTGTTACTTTTGAAACAAGCTCTAACTAGCTTTTCATGTTTATATTGTACCTCAAGGAGGTAAATGGGGAAATTGTTCACACCTTTTCTAGTGCTATTGTGTTTCTAGAGATTTTTAAATATTAATTTTTACAGGAAAATATGTTTCTGTAGGGAACACAAAACCATAAAGCAAGTATGAATATCATCGGGCTAACGCTTGTAATGAATCATCTCAGTTATTGAACCAAACTGTGGGACAGCCACTCAATTGAGCAGGACAGCAAGGTATTTATGCATATAGAATTGCCTACACCATGAATATAAACAGCTGTCATGACCATCATTGGTTTCTTTGATGTAAAAATATCAAATACTTCTGAAAAAGTCTAAATTATTTCATCTGCAATAGTGCTCCATAAGTGAGTAATTAGTCTGGCTTTAGAGATTGTGTCGTTCAGAAGAGTACAAACATAATCATATATATGGCTATTTATTGCAAATCCATATAAAAATATTATCTTAATATACCAATTACTCTATCAAGTAAATGTATTATGAATTAATTTTCACATGGAGTTAACATGTTATTAATGGATACATTTAAAATAGTTTGAATTCAACAGATCGTGGTGTGCCTTAAAAAATGTAGATTATACATTGAGGTCTGCAACATTCTACAACATATTTACAGCCATATTACCATCATTAACTCTTTACAAGTAATCTGTAATTGCATATGTATGTAATGCATGGAAAATCATTCTTTAAGAGAAAGGAAATAGAGGAAGAAAAGGCATTATTTGCAGAATATACTTTTTCTAGGAAATACACCAGAAATCCTAAGTCCAACTACTTTTTCTTGACTCCCTAAACTAATTTTAAAATGTTTGGTATTTACCAAAATGTGTATTATTTCTTCAGGTTTTTTATCATCTACAGGAATCCCATTGACTTCCCTCAGTTCATCACCAACATGAATAAGACCTACAGAAGACAAAGAGGAGTTGTTAACCTGTAGCTATGTATTATGCAAAAAATGCCATTAACATTCAGCTTTTTTCTGCCTTGTTCATGTACTTTAAGCTCTAACTTAAAAGCAGGAATATATGGTGAATACAACAGCTACCGTCCTCACAGATAAGTTTGAGATGGTTGGTTTACTCACCTCCCTTCCTTCCTCCTGAAAATTAGTACCATTTCTCTATGACTTTTCCAGACTTATATGCAGATGTTTGAAAAATGTCTGTGCCAATTCTTTTTCTACTCATACTACTTTCTTATTGCTACACAGCTGCAAGTACTGCAAAGATGACTTGGGCTGTGAGTGCTAATTTGTGGCACAAATGCTTGGTAATTTAACAATGTATATATCTAGATTTACTCCAATACACCATCTAAGTGTGAAACACAGCTGTCTAGATTCCCTTCAGTGAAAAGAGGCACTTTAGGGTACAATTCAGGACCTCTTGTTTGAGTTTTTGCCGACTTTGTGCACCCCAAACGAAACTGGCAGGCAAGGAATGTGCTGGTATTTGGAGAATTACCAGCTGAAACTCCAAATGGACATCCTAATATAAAATAATGCAACTATCCCGAGTTCCTCCATCAGCAGGTTGTAATCGTGGCATATCCCATCATTTCTAAGTAGATGTCTTCAATCGGAAACAAATCATGATACAACAAAAAAAAGAGAAAACCTGGTGTCGGCTAACTCAAAGATACCTGGCTGCAACTGAATTGGGGAAAAAATTCAACACGAATACTTTCAGCAGTATTGCAATATCACTTTGGAAAACTGTCCGCACCCAAAATACTTCTGTTTGTGATAGTGATGGATTTAATTTCTACAAAATATGTCATTTTATCTCATCTTGTTCCGAGTTCTAGAACTTGAATGGCTAGTGCCCAGCAGCAACACCTTACCACTTCTATCTGCAGCTCCTCCACGCATTATCCTGGCCACCACAATTGCACCAGTATGTTCATCCCGTTTAATAGTAGCTCCCTTAGGTAAAAAAAAAGAAAAAAAAAGTTATTTGGTTAATCTCACCATGATTTTAATTCCCTACACTAAAAAACATTTGTTATGTAAAACTGCAAAAAGCTGATATCATATCAATATGTGAATAAGCCAGAAACGATACTTGCTCATGAAAGGAATGTACAAAATACGTTGCTTTATCATCGTTCTCTTAAAATGTGACTTCCATTCAGAAGTAACTCATGCATTCTGTATGTACACAGCTTTGAAAAAAAAGGACAAACAATGGAAAAAGTTTACTTTTCAACTTAATGTTGACTGCAGTGTACCTTACTTGAGTCTGCTGCTAAAACTGTACTAAACTACTGCTGGAAATTGAAAAATTATTGTTCCAACATTAAAAGAGGCCACATGACATACTAGGGGTACAAAGAGTTTTATCTGTGTTCGTAATCGTTGCACTTTACACTCAGAACTGCCTGTACACCCGCTGATCATAATTTTGCTTCACAGTGTTATCAACAAACACACACGAATTTGAGAAACGCCGCTGCACGTCAGGGCTCACCTGGGAGACTGGCGGGACAGAAACGCAGAGGAGGGGAACATTTCCCGGCTTAGCCAGGGCCGTTTTCATACATGACACAAACACAGCACAAGGCATTCGAGTCAAATGACATCATGTAGTTAAATTTCCAGTGAACAGCTGTCTAGATGAGGAAAAATGCCCGTGTAACGAGAACCGCGAGGGCGCGCTGGAAAGAGGCGCAAGGTGACGGGGAAGCAGCAGGCAGCAGCAGGCACGAGGGAGAAGGGAAGGGACGCGGAGGCACGGAGCCGCTGCCTGACTCCTCTCAGGCAGATGGGGAGGAGCGAGGGGGGAAATGCTGGCCCTGCTCTGGAAGACAGAATCCACAAAATTACGAAGGGGATTTTAGCTAGATAAGTTGTACTGTATAATCACCTCCAAAAACGTTATTTGATCCAGTGGTTTTTTTTTTTAAAAACACCACGAAAAACGCACCTCCTGGCCAACAGCTTTTTATCTGTACGTGATTATTTTGTGATGTTAATGCTATTAGTTACCTGCAGCAGCTCTAACTTTGTCAATCAACAGAGATGTTTAGGACTCTGGCAGGTAAGTCAATTTTCTGAAAATTTCCATTATTTGTGATTAGTGAATGAAGAATATTACTTCACCTCTGAGCACAAGACAGTGCTACCTGCACTCTGCCATCACTGGTTAGAATTGCCTTCCATCAGAGAAGTGTTGTGCTTGAAGTAAGGTACATAATTACTTTATAAAGTCCCTTGAATAATTAAATTGTTTTTATAGCTACCTTTCTGTATTTTTTTAGATTGAACATGAACATCATGTTTATCACGACTTCAGTTTTTAAGCGTTTCATGAACATGAAGCTGAAATATGTACAAATGAATAACGGGGAAAGATAGAAATACAACACAAGACATGAAGACAAAAAAGGGAGATTAATTTATAATTTTTTTATAAGCAAGTGGCATTTATTGCAAGTAGAGAAAAATGAAAACAGTCATCACACAATATTCTCTTTGGCTGAGACTTTAACAGTAGCCAGCACTCCACAGCAAAATTGATATGCTGTGTTTGTGTGTTTTATTTTACATGTTAAAATATTAGCATGAAATTCTATCCACAAGCAAAGTAATTCTGCAATTTGCCAGCCTTATTCTTATGTGTTGTTTATAATTGTATCAGTAAGCATTTGTTTGTATTACAGTTTCAAATGAGTCTGAGAGTTTCAAAAAAGATAAAGATTTAGGTGCAGCTAATCTCACTTTAAAAACTCACGATTAGACTTCTGTGCAAAAAGAATTGCATACCATTGGGAAAATATTTAACAATTAAGCATTAAGCATTAACCCCTCTAGCCTATATCTCAATATTAAGTTCCGACCTTGCAGCAACAGCAATTAATTTTAAGTTTATTATTAATAATAAGTATCTGGAAAGTTACATCTGTTTAAAAGTACAAAATGTCTTCTTTCTGAATATATCCATCAAAAATACAAAAGCAACATTAGGATGCTAGAGCCAAATATAAATACAGGAAATTTCCACTATATTGTCAATATAAAACAGAGAATCTCCTAATTAATCATGGGCACACCTGAACAGAAAGGCTTTATGCCTTTTACCTAGAAGTCAACACTATAAAATGCCACCGAATGCAAAAGGCAAGGGATGACTGACAGCCTTCCACCGTGATCAGCCAGCTACCCCAGCCCAGCGCCGATGTCTGAAAAGGGGTACTCCACTTCACTTCGCCTTGTTTTTAGACAGACCCTAGGAAAAAAACTTGTGTGCGATTGAACACCACAGTATTGACCCAGACAGCGTCTGGAAGCAACAATAAGGCTCTCGTGCAAGTGCAACAGTCATTTCATGCTCTATGTGATTACCACTACCGGCACAAAATGAATTTTCCTAGCTCAGATTAACCGATTTGAAAGATACCCCAGCAAAGATAACAGGTAAACTGGAATTTTCAAACAGCACAAAAGCAAGTTCGTAATACAGGGAAACCATTTAACCCCAGTTAGCTCCCTGTCAATAACTCCTCTATGGCAAACTCAAAGTGAATGGGCAGGTCCATGAAAAGCACTATTTGAGAGTTTATGTATTTTTCCTGTATCTATAGTACACAAAGAAAAAAAAGTGTTCCTTAAATTTGCCTTCCCTCTCAATTTAGAACACTTAAAAAGAAATCATCAAACACAAGTGGATTTCTTTTCAAAAACCCAAAGAGCTGATTTTCTGAAAAAGCAGCTTCTCTCATACTGCTGCCAGCCCCGCTTAAACTATGAGGTATATATAATCTGGCAAGAATTTCTCCTTATGAGATGTTCAGCTCCAGTACTTTCGGTTACATGTGCAGCGCAGCTCCTCATTTAGAGCTTTAAAAATGGAAGAAGGTTAGACTGGACCTTGAGAGCTGGAAAATATTTTCAGTGTTGCTAGCCAAAAGTGTAAGTTACCCTAAATGAGACATATACAGATGTAATAGCATAGCTCAGTTTAAAATACTTTTGAAGGGAAAAATAAGGAGTTTGGGAGCCATATGGTGATCAGACTGAGAAAATGTTTAAAGGTATACCATGCAAAAGCACTAAAAGTAATACAAGCTCCTTCAGCAAGGCTCTTTCACTGGATTTTGGGTTGGTGTTTTTTTGGTTTTGGGTTGTTTTATTTTTTCATTTTTAATGTAGTAACACTGATGGGTGAGCATCACTCAGGGTTTCGCAGATGTGAGCTTTATCAGTTCATCCATTTATCTGCTGGTTCCAGAATATTAAAAATAAAGACTTACAATGTTTAAGAAAGAAAGACTAGCCTGTAAAATAAATTATTAATAAGAGAGTTTGAGACATCAGTAATATTTTTGCATACCTTTGTGTTAAACAAAAGCACATGCAGATGTTGAATGCAAATAAGTATTTCAATAAGCCTTATTTTAATTTATTCTCTATTGAAAATGCAAATACAAACATCCATTACCTGCCTTACAGTGAAGAGTTATTTAAATGTTGATGCCCACATACATGCAGACTATGCACACTAAAACTGTCCCTACACCCAAATTAATCCCACCTATAAAATAATTGGGTTCAATAACTAATCAGAACTGAGCTATGGGGACTCAGAGTGAGAGGTAAGCAAGAGCTGTAGAATCTGCATGGGCAGAACATGTAAACAAATTTTAAATCACCAGAATTCCCTTCACCCAAATTCAGCTATGGAAATCAGGTATCTAGCTCAAGCCAGGTGTCTAGGCTCCTCCTATAGTAATGAAAAGAAATAGGCAGCTCCAGAGAATGAATCATCCTTTCATTAAGGCAGGCATCTTAAATAGATGGCATGGTTCATTCTCTGGAGCTGCCTGTTGTTCTCTTGACTACAGACAAAGCATAGAGATTAGTTTTCAAATGGCTAAACTTATGTGAAATGAATCTGTGTGACAAAGGAGCAACCATTTTAACGTGAAGCAGCATCCAATTCAGAATAACTGCATGACAGCGGTAACAAACCTGGAATATCACTTGGGAGCTGGAAGTACTGAGAAGCCAGGAACTGAACTCTTGGTAGCGTGGTTGCGCATCTCTGATATCAGGAATGCTAACCAGAAACATGGCAGTGGCTGAAAAAGTCCTTGGAGAGGCAGGTGTAAGTAAAAACCCTCCAAGTTATCTGATAAAAAGCCTAATTATAGCCAGGTGAATTTCGGACTATCTCTGAAAAGAGATGTTTCTACTTCTCTTTACATAAGTTTTCAGAGATGTTCTAAATTACTTTGTTCAGATAAAACCTAACACAATTTCACTTAGCTTGAGTGAGACACTACTAGAATGGCATTTGCTATTAGAGCATTTAGGAAAAAAAAAAACTGTGGAAGGATCAACAAAAAGTTTAAATCATCTCTTCCAGAAAACTGGAGGAAAGTTCAGCACTGACTTCTGAACTGATGAAATCTGGCAAATAGAAGGCTCTCCCACAAACCATGTGTTTCCCTCTCTTTTGAGATGATTACTCCTGGGAACTCAGGCTTCATTAATATGTGATTAACATCAGCTCAGAACACTGGTGAGGTGCTTAAGTTAGAGAAAAGCACGAAAAAGTACAAGAGGAAATGTGGTGCAGTTTTATATAAAAATGGTCACTAGATATATTATTCCAAAGAAGTTAAGAGAGTGCCTAATCTGCTTCACAGGGAGTACTGTTGAAAGTCATCCAAAGGAGACATCCAATTCAAGAATGTCCAAGGTGCGCAACTGATGTAAAGCTTACTGCTGTGCAGAAAAACAATCTCTACTGTTTGTGTACAAACAGAGAAGAAGAATGTACCTGGGGAGAAAGCAAAGTTCAAAGAACTCAGTGTCTTCAAGTCAAGAAACCAGACAATCTCCATCCCAGGAAAAAATGTTGTATGGTACCTCCAATCTCAAGTTCAGTAGCAAGAATTCTGATATCATGATGCAAGTGGATGTCAGACTTTTTGACTGGAGGATAGCAAATAGATAAACTGAACAAGGAGACACTCTCTGATCTGTACGAAGAATATCCAAGACTTCAGAACAAGCTTTGAAGGAAAAGCCATTAAAAGACATGAAATAAATAGATAATGAAATATTAAATATTCTAGTAAACATAGATCATGGCATATCCTTTCCTTAATAAAATGAATTCAGGAAGCATAAATGCAGTAGATCTAATGTACCTAGTATAAACCTGTCTATTTATTCTACGTGCCGTATTTTGGTGAGACCTTATCTGCATTACTATCCATGTTTCTTCTCACCCCTACCTAAGGGGGAAAAAAAATCTAGGGACGACAAAGACACAAATAATAGGTTTGTTATGTATTGCGGTGATGATGTCATAATAAGTCACTATCAATCTGCCACAAAGAAATTAATGCTTGAGGTTAACATTAATAATGTTAAAAAGGATTGAAGGTGGGTTATGGAAGAGGAGGAGGACTATGCTACTCTTTGAAGTCTTCCTGGAGAACAAGTAACATGCAAAAGAGAACGCACCACAAGCTCTTCTCTGACAAAAATGAAACGTGAAGACAGGCTGGGGTTTTGGAAAGACCACAGATACTCTTTTCCCATACAGATAAGGTACAATCTTAGAAACATTGGTTGAAGGGCAGCTTTTGGAAGTCATTCAGGCCAATCTCCTGCTCAGGGCAGGACTCCTGTCAATGCCACATCGGATCAGCCATTGCCTTATGGTATACGTTGGAGATTCCACATCTCCGGTTAGTCTGCTCCAGAGCTAGATTTCCTCCCTAATGAAATACCTCTGTTAATTCTCAGTCTAAATCTCCAAGAGCTGCAACTTGTGGCCACTGCCCCGTGTTTTAGCATCTTTCACTCTGAGAAAATTTTGACTGTACTGTCCTCGTGAGCTCCCTACTCTCAAGTAGTTGTAGGCTGCAATTAGCTGCCACCCTTTGCCTATTCCTAGTAATTCCTAGATTCCATTATAAGGCTGTTTTCACCTTGGTAAATAAACTAAGCAGTCTTAAACTGAAGAACTGAGTTCTCTCCTATTTTTATATTTTCCATGGCTGCCATCCTGACTAGTAAAAGAAAGTTCTAAAAAAACCTTCTCTGTTACCTCCTTAGCACAAGAGTTGTGCTAAGTATGGATGCACCTTTTAAGAGATTGTATTGGCTTTGGTAGGATAGAGTTAATTTTCTTCATGGTAGCTCATATAGTGCTATATTTTAGGTTTGTGATGAAAACAGTGTTGATAATGCAGGGATGTTTTCGTTATTGCTGAGCAGTGCTTACACACAGTCAAGGCCTTTTCTGCTTCTCACACCACCCCACCGGCAAGTAGGCTGGGGGTGCACAGGAAACTGGGAGGGGACACAGCTGGGACAGCTGACCCCAACTGACCAAAGGGATATTCAATACCATATGACGTCATGCTCAGCATATAAAGCTGGGGGAAGAAAAAGGAAAGGGGGGGGACACATTTGGAGTGATGGCGTTTGTCTTCCCAAGTAACGGTTACACGTGATGGAGCTCTGCTCTCCTGGAGATGGCTGAACACCTGCCTGCCCATGGAAGCAGTGAATGAATTCCTTGTTTTACTTTGCTTGCACGCGTGGGTTTTGCTTTGCCTATTAAACTGCCCTGATATCAACCCATGAGTTTTCTCATCCTTTAATCCTTCTGATTCTCTCCCTCATCCCACTGGGGAAAAGTGAGCAAGCGGCTGCGTGGGGCTGAGCTGCCAGCTGGGGTTAAACCACAACAGACACACAGCTATCTGGAAGAGGTCAGTATCCCACCAGACTGAATAGGCAAGAGCGGAAGTTGAAGAACGGTCCTGGGATAACCTTCGGCTTAGGCAACCCTGTTTGTCCCTTTAAGAGGGCTTAAAATCTCAAAATCCAATATACAATTTATCTCTCTCATGTAAGTTTTCAGAAAATCTCTCAGTTTTGTTTTCAAAGTTGCTATTTATCCAATCCATTCTGAGATACTATTAACTTACAGTATTTAACTCGCAAAAGTGTTACTAGCAAATCACGTTTGAAATATGAAACTATGTACATTAAGATTTTTATTAAGATTTTTAGGAAAAATTCAAGAAAAAACAAGGGTGTTTTCATTAACACTAAAACTAAGCTGCTCAATTAGAATTCATTTCATACACTATGTTCAAATTTCTCCATTCCTTTCAGAATTAATATTCTTTCTGATTCTAAATCCTAAAGCAAGTTTGTTTTTGTCCTCAAAGAATTTCTTTAATTAAAAAAAAAGGAAAGCTTAAAGCTGTGATTTAAATATTTGGAAAACAAAAAGGTTTGATATGTTAAAACAAAGTCAAAACTTTCCATATGGTCAAACTTTTAATTATGCCCATGGGCACCTACAGTCAGTAAATACCAAAACTTATTTCTTGTTTATTGATGCCAGAAATCCATCAAGAATAAGAATGATAGTATGATATCTACTGTGGGACAAGCTACCCCTATGTAACAGAGGCATCGCTCTCCCACTGTCATCTCAAGTACAAAATCACGGCTTTCTCAAAGTAACTTTGCAGATATTTCTTCAGGCTTGCTATCCATTAAAACAAATATCCAGTATAACATAAAACAAAGCTTTTACTGGTTTGCAGGAGAAAAAGAATATAGTTAAATTTTATACAAGATGACTCCCACTCTACAGCAAATAAAAACAACCAAATCAGTAAAGCATTTTAATATTCTTGTAATACAACCTAGGTTTAGTCCTTTCATTTTTCCAGATATCCCCATGAAGATATTAACTTTCTAGTATTCATAATCCAAACTACAACAACAGACATCTTAAATTTGCCCAGATTTCAATTCAAGTATTTTAAAATATGTTTTTATGCTTTATTTTCAGTGTATCAAAAGGTCAAATTTTTTACACGAATGCTAACGGGCACAGTTCACAACAAAGGTCAAGATTACTTTGGGGATTCATTCTCCGCCTCTCATTTTAAAACAAGTTCATGATTTGAATTCAAGATAAAAGATGGATATAAATGCTCAGACTGGCCAACGTATGTAATGCTCAAACACCATGAATGAACAAATTCTTATTATTCATTTCATATGCTTTAGTAATAATGACTGAGAATGGAAGTCACAAGGGTATTATTGAACATTATGAATAAACATGCGTAATGTCCGTCTATCCACATTTCAAGTTACTGTCACCCATTCATGTTCACAATCTAAGAACTCCCCACCCTGTGCACAAACACAAAACCCCAAAATAAAAGACAGGGTTACTTACCAATGGTTCCCTGTTTTTGACAAGCCTGATTATTTTAACTGAATCTTCTTCCTCATCAATATCATCAGGCATGGGGGGCAAGACAGGATCGTAGTTCTTCTGAGCAACAGTATCATGTACAGAGAGCAAAGCCTGGAAACATTAATAGTCAGTATATTATTGGGTATCTGAAAAGTTTATGAAAGACAAAGCAGAGGATATTATTTATAGCCTGACTCTACTAATGTGATGCATGTAGATTGAATTTAATTCTTGTATACAGTTTTAACACGTCAAACTGATGAAACAACTCCATAAAGTGTATGTTTTCATATATACAATGTATGCATCTAGTAAACTGTGAATTCAGAACAGTGTCTTCAGACACATGAAATACCAAGTGCTTTGCACATTAGCTTGAAATAACAAGAATTATGAACAGGAGAAAACCTAAGTCTCCTAAAGTAAGAACATCATTCTACTTGTCCTAGAAAAAAAAGTTTCTTCAATACAGCAAGCAGTCCTATGAAACAAATAAGCAACATAAGCATCTTCCAGTGCTTCTGTTGGAGCATGAGATGCATGACATTACGCTGTTGCCCAACTATCCCCTTCAGAAGAGCTCTGGAAGGTTATCTGGTTACTGGATCCTTTTCATAATAGTCCTGTTTCAGACGAGCTCCAAATTATCTCTGGAATTTTTAATTCATTGTGGAATTCATGATTGAGATTGAGGAACATACTGCTGAAACGATTTGGTTTGGGCTGGTGCTTATTAACCACCTGTCACATGTCTTGCCTCCTTCCTTTCTCCGTTGCTTCTCCAGTTCATGCATAGCTTAAGCAATAGATTTTTCAAAGAAAAGCCTAACAAAGCCTGACAAAATGTTCACTCGCAAAAACAAAATAATTTTTGAACTTGCAGAAATTAAAAAAATCTTGAAAGTCAAAGGAAATTAGAAAGCTCATTCTCCTAAGGCTCTAGAAAAATCTCAGCTATAATCTAAAATTCACAGCTTTTTGTAGATACAGAACTCTCTTCTATTTTGAAAAGTCCTCATTATTTGTAACAACCGTTCTTCACCAGTCTAAAAGGTAAGTAATGCTTTTACTTTTGTAGTCAAAACTATGCGTTATAGCAAGAATAGCAGCAAGAGCCATACATATAATTCTATGTACTGTTGGTTCTGTTTTTAAGTAGTTGCTTCTAAATACTTGAATATTTTACATTTTGACCTGATATTTTTTTCCCAAAGAGTCAATATTACAGAAGTTGTAGTCTGAAGAGCAGAAGTAATTTGCAAATCGATAACCTTCCCGACAACAAAAATAAAGCATTTTGGAAAATCTTGAGGTGTTTAGGATAAAGCAGAACATATCAATGTTGTTGACATGGATGATATCAGAAGGTATCAATGACTGTAATAATGAATCTATTATAACAATTACAATAATCATTAAGAAGAAGCTCTGTAATAAAGAACAGAAAATGGCTACATTTCTTTGATATCAGTTTACTTGCTACTTAATATATGGCAGATAATATTTGAGTACACAAGTGACCAGAAACTGTATGTTCTCAAGGATGATGCAGATGTTTTAAAAAAGCATGACACTTCCATTACACTATTCCAGGATTTTTTTTCTGAGCCAAGGAGAATGTAACAAGAGAAAACAATTTCCAGGCAATGCCACAGGCTATCATGTCAAAAGCAGAAGGCAAAGGGTGTATGGTAATCTTGAAATTCTGAAGTTTAAATTTTAAATTAGGTCTTCAACAAAATAAACACAGAGGAAGATCATGTTTACTTCATGAGAATTTGCTATTGTTTCACTAATTTGTACACATACTGTGCAATTTGATAAAAACATTTCAACACACTAATTATTTCTAGGTTTCTTCCCAAGACACAGCTATGAACTTATACTATTTACCATCAGAAATTACTAGATCCCTCCCACCAAAGATTAATTTTACTTTAGATCTGAACTAAAAACCTCAGGCTAGCAATTATGGTTCCTCCTGAAATGCGTATTATGAAGCATTACATACGTAAAAGCCATGCAATCACATGCAGTCCTCTTAAGATATATGTGAAATATCAAAGATAAACTAAAACAAAAGTAGTGTTTGCTTTTACTTCAGGCTACTTACAGTAAAGACTTCTAAAACTAGTCTTCTGCAATTACGTTTTTCCACATAAAGCTAGGGCACATTCATGGACTGGTTCTATTTAATGAGGTTCTATATTGCAGTTTAAAAACAATCAGGCAGATAGAGAAAACAGATGAAAATAATCTAAAGCACCACTTCCAGAGTAAAAGGCAGCAACTTAAAACATGTTCAGAAGAACCTACCCTTGACAATGAAACTTGCAAAACAGATTCTCTCCACTACTACACCGAATTATTCCACCAGTGTTAATAAGATACCTCCCTGCTCTGACTGCCAGATCAGGCTCCTGGACACTGCGTGCAAAACAACGATGCAGCTCAAGTAGTGTAAACCAATGCCAATCAATGTCTGGTATTTATGATGCTTTTCTTCACTCACAACAACTGGAACTTATCAACCCCCTCCCTCCTCCTCTTCCCAAAAAATGTATTAAACCACAATGTACTACGGTTTTCAATATAAGAATTTTTCCCCAAACTCTAGTACTACTTTGTCTCAGTGCAAAGATGCATATTTTAGGTAAGAGTATGAACGCCAGAAATTATGTGTCTCTTCTCAGTCAAGCTTCCAGAAGAACTTCTGTCATGACGGACTTGTTTATGCTGCACACTGAACATGCTAAGATTTCTTTCCTGCTTGTCTTCCATCATTGCTTCTTTTAACACACTACTCTCTGTCCACTCTAGTTGTTCTTGAAATAGTCAGCAGCATAGACACCGGGAAATAATTAGTCTGCAACCAACACTTACAAAGCCATTTTGATTTCACTTACTGTATTCAACTAGAATTGATCAGATCCTGTCCTTGAGAGAACTTCCACATTCCGAACACATGACAAAATGACCACGTTCACAGAGTAAAAGGACATTTCTTCAGCAGCTTCTTTGTACCGTGCAATTAATATAATGCATGCTTAGTCCAAAAAACTATGTATCAGACTAGACATCTACAGAAAAGTTTGGGATTTTTTTAAAAAGCAAACACATTACAAGTGCCAAGAAATAAAACTTGGATCCTATGATGAACAAGATTTACCCAGAATAATGTGCAGTAAATGTACAAGGCAATGCAAAGGCAGTAATGTTCTCTTTTTGTATGTAAGAAGCGATCAACTCATACACTTCTGTGGTACTAGTTTTTACCTGTCACAAGAAACTGCAAGAAGTGCAGATAATTTTTTTTTTAATGTTTTGGTTTTGTTTTCAAATACACAGCTCTTCAGAACTATGCATGTATGATCCAAGATTTGGGTCGTATATTTAAGCACCTCTGGAGAAAAAGATTTTATTTCAGCTCTAAGTTCTATGCTTATGATTCACTAATATAAACATGGTCCATATTTAGAACTTGAAAGAAGGTATGATTCAAACTCCTGCACTACCTAAATATAAATATTGATGTTCAGCTAAATTCTTAGACATGATCTAGCTGGAAATGAATACTTTCATCAGACCTCTGAAAAGTCTAATAACTAGTCCTGTATTTTTCATATTAAAGCTATCACTGATCATTTCACAGTTTATAAATTGAAATTTTACACTATCAGCTTACACAAAGAAAATCTGACATTGGAAACATTCAAAGTTCTTTTTCTTAAACTATTCTGAAACTTTAAATGTTTATTTAAATTGAGAATGTTATTAATGAAAACAGTTCTATATTTTGAAAAATGTGTATCATGTAGCTACACCGACTACATTTTTGCTCCTCTAAAACAATGACAATTTTTTTTTTTTTGCTTCTGTTTATATTTTGAGATCTGTAAGAATAAAAATACCCCAGGTAGCCCCTGACTCATGAACACAGCTCCTTATGTTTTTAAAATCTCATTTAAAAAACAAACAAACAAACAAAAAACCCCTCAATTTAAGCTTTACTTTTAGAAATATTTTGCATTTACTATTCTAGAAAAACATTTTACAGAACAGTAAGTTAAATAAAGAAGCAAGACAGAACAGACAAAGAAACAAAAGCAGCCCCTTTCATCATGGTACTGGAAACAAGAAGATTAGAAAAGTAAATAGTTAGTAGTCAAGATTATTGACATAAAATTTCTAGGCACTAAAACCAACCTTTATGAAAGCCAACAGCTGCAGCAGACTGCAACACTGCCAGCCCAGCCGCTGGTCACCTTGCCTATGGAGTAGATTACTGCCCTGGCAGAGTCAGCAAAATAGAACAAAACAGCCCATGACTTTGCTGTCCCAGTCCACAGCTTGGATCATTAGCACTGGTCACCTTCTCTGGCAGTTCAGCTTGAACTCCATCAGGTAAGACAGAGACTTTTTCCCACCTCTTTGCTTTGCTATGGTGACAGTAACTTCCGCTGAGGCTGGCACGGAGAAGTTACACTGGAGGAGAAAAGTAACTTCAGCAACCACAGAAACGTGCCCCTGAACTCACCTGGCAGAGCTCATCCTCCAGAAACCTCTAGCCATATTGCATTTTTCTTTGTGATACGGTTACAGAAGAAATACAAAAAGACAAGCTAAAAATGTTGGTGGAGAAAATTATTCACGACTGGAAAGGCTGATTGATAAGTAACTTGCATAAAGTTAAAATCAAGTGAGTGAAGTCATCTAGTGACAGATATCAAAGAAGGAAAACTGAAAGAGCTGGGAGGAGGCTGAAGCCACTGAAGAAAAGACCATCAAGAGCAACAGCCAAACATGTGCAAGAATTTAGAAAGCATGAGAATAAAACCAGCAGAAAGCTGTAGCATAATGGTGTTGGCATACAGGCTATAGGCACAAAAAAGCAATTTGACTTGAGAACAGTTTGGAGAAGAAAGAGATAAAAAGACGAGGTTTCAGAATCGAGCTATACATTTAAGAACAAACGGTAAGCAGCACAAAATCAATAGGGAAAAGGGGAGATAAGAATTTAGATAAGTGGGGTGTCGGGTGAGACCAACCTTCCTTTTTTCTACAGGAGAATTAGTCTTTAAATCTACTATCTTGAGTACATAAGTGTCCTGGTTTCAGCCAGGATGGAGCTGGTTTTCTTCGCAGAGGCTGGTGCGGGACTGTGTTTTGGATTTGGGATGAGAAGCTGTTGATAGTGTGCTGATGTTTTGGGTTGCTGCTGAGCAGCCAAGGACAGTCCAGCTTCTTGTGCTGGCCTTCCAGCGAGTAGGCTGGGGGTGCACGGGGAGCTGGGAGGGGACACAGCCGGGACAGCTGACCCAGACTGGCCAAAGAGATATTCCCTACCACACAACGTCATGCCCAGTACATAAACTGGAGTTGGCCGGGGGGCGGAAATCGCTGCTCGGGGACGGGCTGTCGATCACGGGGTGGTGAGCAATTGCTGTATTGGGCATCACTTGTTCTTGTACATTCCTTTGTTGGTATTATCATTGTTGTTTCCTTCTTTTTTTCCTGTCCTATTAAACCGTGTTTATCTCAACCCACGAGTTTTTTTTTTTTTCCCAATTCTCTTCCCCGTCCCACTGCGGGAGGGGGAGTGAGCGAGCAGCTGCGTGGTGCTTAGTTGCCGGCTGGGGCTAAACCACGACAATAAGCTAGATTTTATGTTGATGTACTGATGAATCCCACTCTCCAGCAAACGGGTGGTAAAACAGCCATCAGCGAAGGGCAGCACATGGCAGTGTCCTGGCCACCAGCACTGCCTGCTGCGGGAGCACCTGCAACCCCCACCCCAATGCAAGGGGTTAACTAGATAGCAAGAGCGCAGGTAAGAACGGGCATCTCAACCAACAGATAAGGGCAACTACACTAGCTGAACTCTCCAGCTCGGCTAAAGCACGAAGTATAATCTAGAAGCAACAAAACTATAGGCAGGACGAACTCGGTACTGCTGCTGAAGCGGCTAGAGGATGGCTGGGGTAACAGTAGGACTGAATTTTATTTTTTGGCTGTAGAACCAGTAAGTGAGTACGCAAGCTACAGTAACCACTTATCAGGCAGAAAAGTAATATTATTCCTCTGAAGGTGCAATAATCTAATTACTTTTCTACAAAAATCTGAGATATTCTGTTCTAAACTAAATTCCCAAGTAAATATGTACAGTATATAATGTTAAAGAAATCAGTTAACTTCCAAAGAAATCAACACGTTTTTCCTTTTGCTACTGAAAATCATTTACACTATTCATTTGACATAAGCAAAAAACCTTTGACAGTGACAGTAAGAAAAATTGAATAAGGTCCTTTAAATTAAGCATGATTTTCAGTTTGTAATCAGGAAACCAATGTGTGCACTAATTCATGGGAAAAAAAATCAGCGTTCATTTATTTATTTCCATCCTTTAAATATTATGGTTTTCCTATATATTCTCTATAAATTCCCTAGAAATTATATATTGCATGAGAAGACAGCAGTTAGGTATGCACAAAAGAGAAAAGACATTCCATGCTTGCAACTATCCCATCTGTACTTAAACCAGAGTTGCCCTCTAGTTCAAGCTTGTCCAGCTGGCAATTAAATCCTTTTCTCTTCCAATTTGACTTTGATGCAGTTGGGTCACAGTAGAGATTCAAAATATTGAAAACACATACTGTTCATGTGTGGTTTTGTGTTCTTAATATCTACCATATATTAATGTTCTTAGCATAGCAACATCTCAGTTGGATCAGTATTCAGTATATATTACTTCTTCCTCTTTGCTATGGTGGATTTTATTCATGACTATATGAACTTCCTTTCACAAAAGGGTAATTTCCTTGACTGAATACACAGTTTCTTGATTTCAGATTCACCAGTCTGAACTGATGGGTTTACCTGCAGCTGGTAGCCAGACGGCAACAGCCAACAGAAAAGTGAACTTTCCGCACCTTCAGACTCCTACTTCCTCTGGCTCATTGTTCGCAGCCCCTGGAGACGTTTCCAAAGTCAAACTATTCTCAGTGTTCACAGAAACACAGAGCCCATCCGTGTCATCTGGTAAAGGTGTTAATATTCTTCCAGATGACAGCCCTATGTTTTTCCTCAGCAGTGGATAATGGCAGGGTAAGCTCTGATTTTAAATCAATGGTGAAGAATCTGAACGAAATCTCTTTTATGTTCGCAACGTGATTCATGTAGCTGAAGTGAAACTTTAAGTCCTATTTACGTAACTTTCAAGAGCACAAATAGATCGTTTTCAGAGTGGAAAACACCGAGACAGGAACACTCTTCCTTGATCAATTCCTTTTCTGAAGAAGTGGCAGCATCCTGACAATACTAAGTGTCTACAGCAGTAGCATGCATCTTTTCTTCGTTGAAAATCATCTGAAGACCCAGAAACCAAATGAAAATATAAGTCAAAGAAAAGTAAAAGCTGAGGTTGCAGTTGCCCTTTCTGAAAAAGTGTCTTTTAGAAATGACACAGCCTTTTTATGACAACAGCATGATGTCTAAAGTCTTAAAAAGAAAAAAAATCTACTGATCCATAAGGTTAAGAGAATCTGGATATATTAAGGTATATAGAGGACAGGGACATGATTCGAGACAGCCAGTATGCCTTCACCAGGGGCAAGTCCTGTCTGATCCACCTAGTGGCCTTCTGTAATGGAGTGACTACATCAGTGGACAAGGGAAGAGCTACCAATATCATCTATCTGGACTTCTGTAAGGCCTTTGACACGGTCTCCCACAACATCCTTCTCTCTAAATTGGAGAGATATGGATTGGATGGGTGGACTGTTTGGTGGATGAGGAATTGGTTGGATTGTCACATCCAGAGGGTAATGGTCAACGGCTCAATGTCCAGATAGAGATCAGTGATGAGTGGTGTTCCTCAGGGTACATATTGGGACCAGTACTCTTTAATACCTTCATCAAGGACCTAGACAGTGGGATCAAGCGCACCCTCAGCAAGTTTCCAGATGACAACAAGCTGAGTGGTGCAGTTGACACACCTGAGAGATGGGATGTCATCCAGAGGGACCTGCACAAGCTCAAGGAATGGGTCTGTGTGAATCTCATGAGGTTTAACAAGGCCAACTGTAGGGTCCTGCACCTCGGTTGGGACAACCCCCGGTTATTAATACAGGCTGGAGGATGAAGGGATTGAGACCAGCCCTGCCAAGGAGGACTTGGGGGTACTGGTGGATGAAGAGCTGGACATGAGCTGTCAATGTGCTCAGAGGGCCAAGCCTGTCCTGGGCTGCATCCAAAGAAGCGTGGCCAGCAGGTCGAGGGAGGGGATTCTGCCCCTCTACTCTACTCTGGGGAGACTCCAACTGGAGTCCTGCATCCAGCTCTGGAGCCCTCAGCACAGGAAAGACAGGGACCTGTTGGAGTGGGTCCACAGGAAAGCCACCAAAATGATCAGAGGGATGGAACACCTCTCCTATGTGGACAGGCTGAGAAAGTTGGGGTTGTTCAGCCTGGAGAAGAGAAGGCTCCGGGGAGACCTTATTGCAGCCTTCGAGTACTTCAAGGGGGCCTAGAAGAAAGATGGGGACAGACTTTTTAGCAGGGCCTCTTGCAATAGGACAAAGGGTAACCGTTTTAAACTAAAAGAGGGCAGATTTCGATTTCAACTAGATAGAAGGAAGAAATTTTTGACAATGAAGGTGGTGAAACCCTGGCACAGGTTGCCCAGAGAGGTGGGAGATGCCCCATCCCTGGACACATTCCAGGTCAGGTTGGATGAGGCTCTGAGCAACCTGATCTAGTTGAAGATGTCCCTGCTCATTGCAGGGAGCGTGGACTAGGTGACCTTTAAAGGTCCTTTCCAATGCAATCCATTCTACGATTCTATGATTATATACTTAATTCCTTCAGAAAATAGTAACATACCTGTTTACGATAAGGAGGTCTTAAATACAGAGCACTCATACGATATGGACACCTAACTAAAAATATTGAAGCAGTTTAGTTTTTAAGTTGATTACTTTTGCCTGCTTTGGATCTTTCCTGTACTGAACAGTAGAAATAGTATTTCCATATATCAATTGCCCTAAGTGCAGATATAATTCTGGAGAACTGAAAAGCTGCAGTGAGTATTATCTTCACCATTACATATAAGTAAATCTTCTATAAGTACTTAATAAAGATTTATAAAATATTAAAATAGATGTGGTGCGATAGAATAAATCCTGCCTCTTAAATAGTAACATTCTTTTTAAAAGGCCAGCAAAATAGCAAGCGTCTGCACGTTGCTTAGCTGTCGGTTGGGGTTAAACCACGACACAGGTATAAGAAAAAAGCTTACAATTTTCCAAACTATTTGTGATAAAGGTACTTATAGATTTATGAGTTACATAGTCACAGGAAAAGAGTCTTGCCACTGACTAGAAATACAAAAATAAGCAGAAAGTGGAAAAAAAATTATTACGAGACCATACTGGGTCCCTATTGAAGATTCATTAGTGAACTAGAAAAGAGGAGACTGTTGAATAAGTGAATGGAGAGTTCAAATAGAATATGGTCTGGCAAATGCAAGGGAAAAGCACCACTGAAGGAAAAAGCAGCATAAAAAGATGACAACTAAAAAAGGGACTATTTGCTTCATATTGTGCAGGTCTCCATTTTCACTATCTGAATAGAATTGTTACTTGATGGGATGTGATTTTATCCATAGCGATTTTTTCCTCCTCCTAAATTACCATATCTAGTAATATTGCCAAAGTTAATGTGTTGTACGTGAGTGCTATAGTTACGTGTATGCAATTCAACATTCTTACATGGGTTAGAGTTGGTTCCTTCACATGGGTACGTCTGTATATATTAGCAAAGAATTTCTTTGATTTATTTTTCAAATCTTTTCTTTTCTGCTGCCAACCTGCCTTCCTTCATTTTTATTACATCATTCACTTTGTTTTATTGTATGTTGGCTGCTAGCAAGCATTCTCATACGCACACGTGTGAGAAGATTGACAGACAAGCTGCCCGTTGGACATCATCTGAGTTATCAAGAGACAGACCTGAAAAGCAATTCCAGGGTAATGCGATGGTTGTTACTTAAATATCTTCATGCAGTATTCTTTCATCTCCTTTATATAATTTTATATCTATGCTTACGATATGTTGTATATTGTTATATGTATGCTCTGTCAGCTCCTACCACATTAAGAGTGTGCCACAACTGCTTTCTGATTTTCTTTGCCTGTCAGGTGTGAAAAATCAAGCCTTTTCTTGCTGTTTTTGCAAGGACTTTTTTAACTTGTTCCAGTAACAGGGACATTCCAAAAACAAAGACAGCAACATATTGTCCCAGTGCTCCCCACCCAAAACCAAGTTTTTTATAAAAAACTCCTTTGAATCAGGGGTGCAAGTGGAAATGGAATTAGGAAGTCAAGGCCTGAAGCTGGAAAGGGTTAAGAATAAAACTATTTTTCCTCTAATAAGGTTGCCATAATGATGATGGAGGGCTTCCCAAAGTGGCAAATAGTTTAAAGGCAGGAAACACTGGGCAGAAGGATCTCATTTGCTTGCCAGCAAAAGTTCTCCCCAGCTCTGTTCCTTCTCCCCCAGCTTCACAGCTGGTATGCTCAGAACACCTCTGGGTGATCCATCAACCAGCATTATCAAACCATCGGTGCTGTGGTCCTTGCTTCTTGTTGTGATAATTTGGGTATGTTACTTAGGTGGCAAATAAATATTTCTCTCTCACTGCTGGTACTTCACAGCATACCATCAAAAATCAAGCAGGCTTTTGCTGATTTACAAATTAGTGGCACCTGATTTTACAAATGAGGATTAGCTAGGTGACTTTTCAGTTGACATATGAAATACAGTGTACTCCAGCTCACCATATTAATAAAATTAAACTAGTTTATACAGCAAAGTATCTTAATATAAGAGCAGAACTCCTGTAATCGGCTCAACCAGCAAACCTCAAGGACTACAGATGAGTAAGTAGTTATAAATCATGGGAAACGATGCTTCCTGAACACATATTGTAGTCTGTGTTACCATGTGTGAGAATGAATATTCCATAAAGAGGAGAGGAATGGTCTCCAAGGACATGAGCAAAAATAGAACACATAGGTGTATTTGAGAAGGCAGGTCTCTAAAGGGACAGGGCCAAAAGGTCCTCCGAGAGCTTGAGATACAGTAACAGCTCAAATGTAGCTCAGATGTTAACTGACCTAAAATTTGTATTGGGTTTTCCAGATGCAAAACCCAGTTGTAGACAAATCCCAACAATTTCCAATGGAAAATGTTGACTTTGCAAAACGCATGTATTTCAATGAAAAAGCCCTGATAGAAAATCCTCAGCGAGTCTAATTACAAAGCAAATGTTGGAAAGAGGACAAAGTTTAGATTAAAGTTTTTTTAATTACATGTTACAAGAAATGCTTCATTAACCTTTCAAAGTAAAAACAGATTTTGGTTTATATTATTATAGCACAATATTTTCTTTGAGTGCTTTGTATTTTAAAGTTCTTATAGAAAAATGCCTGCTGTTTCTTACACAGTAAATTATATTGTCATTTTTTGCCAGTGACTGTAAGGCAGCTTTAGAAGGCTCTGCTGATAAAGGCTTAAAATGTTTTTTTAAGATAACAAGTAGCACTTTGATCAGAATAGTCTATTAGGCCACTGTGCAAAGCTAGCACAGTGGGATTAAGGGGACAATATTAACAATATTAACACAATATTAAGGGGAAAAAAGCCTCCTGTAAGAGAGATGTTTACGTTGTGTATTTACAGCACACATTAACTTTAATGTTGTCATTAGGCAAGGAAGCTAAGGGACTGGATGAAAGTATCAGCAGTTGTTTATGAAATAAAAGCTAGAATTTACAAAATTCCCAGAAAATACAAGAAAAACAGAACAAGATAGGACAACAGAAAAGGTATGCTTCAGGCTAAAAGCAGCACTATTTCTTTTTTAAAAGAAACATAAACAAATATAGGAAACATTAATATAAAGAACAAAGTGCTCTGGTTTCATTATCTGCAGTTTTAGTTTTGTTTAGCTCATGGTTCTATTCTGAAGGAAAGCCAAGGAGGTACTTACCAGATGAAAATGTTTACAAACACAAATTTTTTATGCTTTGTGAAACTGAAAGTCAAGTACACCTCAAATGAATTGCAAATAAAACAGCAAACATAAATCCTATTTACAATTTTCTGGTGTATGCATCTTTGCCATTTGAAAGCGATTTTAAAAAAACCTGAAAACAACTTAGAGAATCTGTATTTTCTCGGAACAGCACACTGAAGTTGTCCATGGATAAGTTAATCTGAAAACATTCCTAGTCATACGAAAGCGGTTTTCCCTTCACTCTGCAAGTTATCTTAAAATTACTTCCAAAATTCTATTCATTCTACAGTAATGAAAGAGAAGCCAAGAAAAATACTTCAAGGTTGTCCACCGCTTGTTCCCTCTACGGCTACAAATACAGCACCCAAAGCGATCCAAATACTTTACATTCTTGTGTACCATGATGCACTGAAGTCATTCACAGTCCTGCCTTGTGCCCTTGTTTAGGCACCTGGTTTATGTTTCAGACTAGCAGCTGGCAAACCTTTCAGAGCACATAAACGGAAGATATACTCCACTGAAACAGGCAGAACCACCACTGGCATCCTTAGGAGGCTAAAAAAAAAGCTTAATTTCCTCTGCGTTGTTAAGAGGTATAAACATCCTTCAGAATAGTTTTAGCACAGTGGCATAAGCTTTTAAAATAATTATTGTTCTGCCCATTACACTGACGACCACAAAGGACATACTTTATATGAACTTAAAAACACACTAAATCTTTTTAAAAACAAACTAAGTTTACCCTAATAGGGATTAACTTCAAATGGTAAATTGCTCATTACAATATGTAATGATCAAGAATCTAACTGCTGTTATAAACACAACGTTAAGAGCAAGTCAGATCTGAATATATCCCAAGCCTGTCTCAAAGTTAGTATATCTGGGATAAAATTGTTCAATGGACTAAAAGATGGTCCATTCCTTTTATAGTCATCTTTGTTTACAGCCACAACAACAAAATAAATACCTAAAATGTTAATTCCTATAGTTAATTGTTTTAGTTTTTCAGATTTCAAATAATTTTAAAAATAAATACCAATTATGCCCTTGTGCTATGGCACTGTCCCAAAAAGAACACAGCTTCTTCCAGCTTGTTAGAATAGGAACTGAGAGCTACTGTTCAAGAAAGCTTTTTAAGTAAAAGTGGAAGAGAATTTGAAAGCTTTAAAGTCTTCTGTTCTCTAGTTTGATCATCTGTCCGTCTCCTTTCTTACAGTGTCTGTCCCTGGGGTTCTGCCCCATAACTGACAGAGTAACTCTGGTGTCCACCTCCATTCCCATTTGTGTCCCTGCTGACAGATAAGACCATTTTGCTAACTTGATTGTGACAAGTCCATTAAAAATCCAGAATTAAATTCCCTTTCAGATATACTTTGTGTTAACATCTTGAATCCTAGCCTTCCAATTACCTATTCCAATTTATACGATTGCATAGCAATGAAAAATAAAGTACTTTGTCTCTTGATAATATAGCTAATTTAAAAAAAAAGGTAATGGAGTGCTCTCAGACAATAGCAATACTTTCAGATTCATAAAAAAGCCAAATTACTCTATAAAGACATCTCTCTCAATTGCACTAGTGCCTACCTGATGGATCATAATTTTTAAAATTTTTGTCATTATTTTCAACATTCTGTGCAACTCCCCTCTCCACATACATTCCATTTGCTGTCACGTAAGTTCCTTAAATTTCTCCAAATTATATAACATTAAAGCTGAGAATATTTACTTCTTTATCCTATTGTTCATATTTTTTACCAAAGCACATGTCGAAACATCTTCCCTTAAATCAGAAACATCCTTTCATCATTAATGTCCTCACTATCTATTCTAGTTTTCATGC